TGGAGGAAATCAAGTTTTACCACCCAGTCTCAGCTTTAGTGGATAGATCTATAACCCCAATCTACCAGCAAGGTCCCCTTTTCTTCTGAGATTCTGCCTCCTTGGATTCTATGTGTGGCTGGTAGTGATATCTTCATGGCTGTCCTGGTCAAGGCTGAGCCAGCAACTCATGTCCTGATGTATCCCTAGTGTCCTGGTTTCCTGGGAATGAAAACTTACAGACGCTGACAGAGCACCTGTTCTTAATGCAATCTAATTGATCTCACCATTTATCAAGGAACTTCAGGCATGATGGGAACTAAAGCCTCCTTTCCCCAAAGGGGCATTTTAAGTGGGTTCAACTACTTTGATCTCATCTTTATCATGTACAATGAGTTCTAGGAACACAGAATTGCAGTAGTAATGTCAGGATTAAATTTTTATTGCTAAGGCTTTGAAACACAAACAAAATTTTAAAAGCTCATTAGTGACTGAAAATTATAATCCTGCTGAGGGCACATTTTACTGCTATAATAACTGTAAAACACAATGATAAATATAAAATATTATACTAGAATTTGGAGGAATATTTTCACCCTCATTGTCTTATTAAACTCGGTAGAAATTATTTTTGATGTATAGTCTTATTGTATAAACAGGTTATCATTAAGACTAAACAAAAAATAAATATTCTGTTTAAAATCAAAATAAAGCTATTAACAGGTTTTTGCAGGTTGAACTGTAAAATACAAAGGTGAGAAATAACTTCATCATCTGGAAATATAGTTTTGTCTTTATTTGTGGGAGGACATAGTTTGTCTCCTTGTTCATTCACCCCTTCACTTTTACAAAGCATATTTATTGAGTACCATAATGTACCTGGCACTGTGCTTAGTGAGTAAAGATGCCAGATAGGCTTGATGTCATCTTTATCTTTGTGTTTCTTATTAACAATGTCTTTAATCTTGGACTACTTTGAAATAGTAACTCAGATTGCTAGTTGAGTTGAAAATGAACTCTTTTTTCTCTCATGTTGGGAGAGAAAATATGCTTACCCAGAGGAAGTACCTAGAGAGTCCAAGGTTTTTGGCCACTCAATAGTTCTTCCTCACTTTAAGGCAGTAGCTGTGGAAAGGGAGATATGTAATATGTATAAATATTATGTATATTGATTTTTTGGGGGGTGTTCTCAGATCTCTTGATGTTTCTGGTGGTCTCCAGCTGAACATCAGAGATACTGTCAGGAGGACAGAGTTGCCACAGGACATTGGTATTACCAAATCTTGAGGGTGTAACAGTGATAGAATCCCAAAGGGAGGGTTCAGAGACTCCTGCTGACAGGTCCATGGTGATCCTTACAAGGCAACATGGTAGACAAAAGCCATTTGTTCAGGAACCAGACTATTTCCATCCTAGGATCCCAGTAACCTGGGGCAAATTACTTAGCTTCTTTGTGCTGTGACTGACTTGTCTTATGGGGATGGGAATAACCATGAGTTCCTCATAGGTCTTGACAGAATTAAATGAGTTTATTCGTGTACAGTGCTTAGCACAGAGAGACTGGCTCACAGAACTCTAAGTGGTGGTGGTGTTGGGGCGGTAGTTGTGAGGATGAGCATCAACATCCTCCTCCTCATTGATTTCTTTATTACTTTCTGTCACAGTCACAGACGGTCAATCAGTGGCAGGCAGTGATCAGTAAGGTAGTAGGTCCCATTTCCCAAGGGACTGCGATTCAAGAATTGAGGGAGAATATCTTGCTGAGTGTTAATGCAACTGTGTTGCTCCAATGACTCTCATCTATAAGTATTGGTTGGAGATTGTCCAGTAGTCCTTTTGTCTTCTAACATGGTTCCCAATGGTCACCAGCCCTTGGGAACTGATGAGCCGCACTGGCTCATCTTTGATTGGCTCTCTGGGGGAGGCAAATGTCCATCCTTGCTGCTTGCCTTGGTGTTTGCAGTGGTACCTCTGGTGCCTGGAAGTGACACCTTGTGTAGATTCTGAGTAGTTTCTCACTCTTGCATATCCTGCCCAACTCCCAGACCCCAACCTCACCCCAACACACGCACACGCACACACACTTCTCTCTTGATAACAGCACAGGGGGACAGTGGAGAAAACAAGGGTTGGGGGATATTCATAGTTCAGCAATTCTCAAATGGGGCCATTTTGTTCCCCACACCAGGAGATATTTGACAATGTCGGGAGGCACCTTTGGTTGACATAACTGGGGAATTTCTGCTTTCATTTAGTCGGTAGAAGTAGTGAAGCTGCCGAAGCTCCTACAATGCACAGGACAGTCCTCATATCAAAGATTGATGTGGCCCATGGTGTCAGTCATGCTGAGGTTGAGAAACTCAGGGTTAGCCCATGCCCAGGGGAGGACCTGGGCTTCAGTGTCTGGTTAACAACAGTTGCTAGTAACAGTTAAATGCTGTTTTAACACCGGTTCTAGTTGACTGATGATACAGGCTCCAGGCAGAGGTTGGAGATGGGGAGATTGATGTCCTGCATCTGACAAGTGTTTGCTTCTGCTGAGCTTAGCCACCTCTCAGTGGCACAATTGTCCCTGTCTGCATGGCTAGCCTCCAGTAATCTCCAGAACTCAGGAGAGCCAGTTAATGCATTCGACACAGCTACAGAGCAGAGCGGGTGACTGACTCCCACTGTCCATGCCCGCTAATGACGTGCCAGGGACGCACTGAGTCATGCTACAGCCGGGGAGGATCATGATCTCGTGACCCTTCAGATTAAGTAACAAAGCTTTGCATCACCCAAGGAGAGACTTCTTTAGGAAGGATGAGAGCATGTTCCAGAGGGAATTTTTATTTTATTTATACAGGTAATAGGTAGTTTTGCCTGGGTAATTATGTGCCCGGCATTACTTGGCATTTGGTAAACATTAACAAATTAATGCTTGGTAGTTTTTTTTTTTTTCTCCCTTTTCTTCTTCTTTTGGTGGTTCTGAGATCAAACTCAGGACCTACCACTGAGCTACACCTCCAGGCCTCCTTGAGTTCTCTTTATAAAACCAAACCTATTCTTGCCAGCAAAACAGTGCTAAGGGAACAGGAATGGAGAACTAAAACTCGAGCCCAGGAATTCTGGGCCCTTTACCACTATGTGATAGGGGAAAGACTCTGAACTTCATACTTGAACTGTCTCCAAACTTCGTTTTCTCATCTGTACAGTGGAATTATACTGACCTCAGGGGGAGGCCGTGAAGATCAAACAGGGTTGCTTACCTGTGTGCATGGTATGTGACCAGCATTAATTCCCCTCCAACCTTTGGTGCTGCAGTCACCATTGCTCCCTGCTGGCCTTTGTGTGTTGCATAATTGTTCTATAATTTGGCTGGTAGGTGTAGCCACAAGAAGGGCACTTGGGAGGAACAGGAAACAAAGTATATCATACTCAGAGGTCCTGGAGACTGGCAGCAGGGCACATCATTCAAGGTCATGCAGGAAAGACCCTGGGTTGGTCAGGAGGCAGAAGATATGAATGAGGGGTGGGTTAGTCACTTGCGTTTATTTATTAATGTTTCCTTGAGAAGGGAAGGAGGAGCAGGGTGAAGAGATTAGGTTTGGCTAATTTTAATAATCTTGGCGGGCTCTGGGGTGCAGCAGAAATCCCTAGTTGCCTATTATCTGGCCCTGAGGCCATCAAGGCAGAGTTGTGATTATCTCCTGTGTTTGTGTGGGCCAGATAGTGAAGCTGTCTCCGGGTTCCTTGGTTTGAATTGTCAAAGGCTTGCTTCAGACTGGGCTTTTCATTATCTCTAAGAATTGGCTAGCTCTTCAGGGACAAACAGAAAGGTTTTTGAAGATGTCAAAATATTAAAACCTATGGGGGAAAATTTATAATACCTTTAGGTAAAATATGCATTGAACAGTAGTAAAATGAGTTTCAGATATTTATTGGAGTGAAAGATCAAAGAAGCTGCTATGGACCTTATCACCATGAAGAAGTTTAATATTTAGCACTGGGATGAAATTATGCCAAGAACCAGATTTTGAGAATAGAACAACTTTCAGGATAAAGATACAGATTTTGTTTCTGTCTTTAAACCATTAACAACACAAACTTCCATGTTAATTACACGTCTGGGTTTCCATTCTAATGAGTTTCTCTCTTGGCCTGCATGCAGCTTGGCTGAGGTCCGTTGGCTGCGGTCTAGGTGGGGGAAAGGACCAGGTGTGGGTTCTGCTCCTGGGCAGAGCAGAGCACCTGTTCAGAGGCCAGCTTGCTCTGTTCTCTGAAGAATGGAAGGTGACACTTCCCATTTGTCTTAATTCAGGGCTCTTCTGTGTCCTGCTGTCCACACTGGGCATTTTTCCCCTGGCCCACTCCCAGTTCATAAGCAGGTCTGGATTCTATTCACATGGATGACTCTTATCCATCTGCCTTTCAGACACATACAAGTCAGTATATCTTTCTTTGATGGTGAGTTTCCAGAAGACAGGGTCTAAGTTCATTGCTTTTTTTCCCTCCCCTGTGGAGTATGTTGCATACAAACTTGGTAACACTTGTATGGGGATGAAGACAGTATTCCTATAGTTCATCCAGAAGGAAGGTCACTGCTTTTTAACAGAGTCAGATGGATAAGAAACAGACTCCACTCATCAATAAAATGTCAGTGCCACGAGAGAGAATATCCCCAGCATAGATTTTTCTCTTTGGACCTAGTAGCTGGAAATAATTTTATATTACTGCTTGCCACAAACACATTCTGTAGCAGACTGATTTGTTTCATAGGTCTGGGCTGATTGATGGTGGCTGCTGTCATCTTTAAGATGTGGGTTGTTAGGACAGGGTTTTTGCACCACTTCAGAAACATTTGAGCATTTTGTTTTGTTTTCAGTGCTAGAGGTCAAACTCAGAACCTTACACATTCTGGGCCAATGCTTTACCACTGAGTTACATCCCCAGACCACATTTACAAAGTTTTGTCCTCTGTTATGTGTGAGTGAAATAGGTACAGAATTAAAAAAAAAAAAAATCTACATTTCCTTTTTCAGACCTGAAGAAAACTCTTGCTGTACTATTGGACAACATTTTGCAGCGTATTGGCAAGCTAGAATCGAAGGTGGACAATCTCGTTATCAATGGCACAGGAACAAACTCGACCAACTCCACCACAGCTGTTCCCAGCTTGGTAGCACTTGAGAAAATTAATGTAGCAGGTAAGAATGTCTGTCCCATGCAATTGAAACCTGCTTTGGACTAGGGAAGAATAAAGGAGCATCAAGGTTCCTGTTGATATTATATGAATTCCTTAAACTTGGTGTGGCTATTGTGAAGATAAGCTGAAATTTATTTTTCAATAATAGATGCCAGAATGCTTTTATGACCTCATTGTCATGTGTAATATCCGGTGGTTTCTCTGACACATTCGCACCTAATGAGCTCCTGAAACTGACGTCTAATGAGAAGATTCATAGCACAGATTAAATGAAATAGAGAGGTTATCTGAGAAGCTCATGCCAGTCAGAGTTCCTTCCTGTTCCCCACTCATCCGATAATTTCAAAAGTCTCTTATGCATAATACATTCTCTCCTCCATTGCTCAAGTAGAGCTGCCATTACAGAAAAGACCCTATTTGTATATGGAACAGTAGAAATTCTGGAAGTGACCTTTCGGAGACAGATGGCCTAATTCTGACCAGGTTCTGTAGCCACTTAGGGAAACTATCATGCATTTATTACTGGGATGCATTTTGTCTGGTCCCATCTTGAAGTTGAAATCTTGGATGAGAGAAGAGAAAAGGGTTAAAAAGGAAACTCAAATGGGTAGGTGGCATGTTATTGTCCATAGCATGCCATGTTGGACCCATCCTTCCACAACCCTGCCCTGAGGATGGCCCTTGGGTCTTCATACCTGAGCCAGGACTGCTTGTTAGGGTGACTACTATTTCCTAGGGACCCAGGACAAAGGGAAGAGCTGGAGGATTTGGGTTAGGTGATTCAGATGATTGGTTGTGAAAAGAGCTATCTATACTTCTGGTGGGTGACCTTAATTCTGGTTAAGAGATAAAGTAAGTAGCCAGGGTACTTTTGAAATGTAAAAAACCTACTTTCTTTTTTTTTTTTTTTAAAGATAGATAGATAGAGAGAAAGAGAGAGAGAGAATTTTAATATTTATTTTTTAGTTTTCGGCAGACACAACATCTTTGTTTGTATGTGGTGCAGGATCGAACCCGGGCCGCACACATGCCAGGCGAGCGCGCTACTGCTTGAGCCACATCCCCAGGCCAAAAAACCTACTTTCATATACTCTGTGGCTTATTTTTTTTCTTTTCTCTTCCTTATAAAAATTCAGTCTAAACTAGGAGAGATTCTTTTCTTGTCTACCTCCCAGTGTCGAAACATTTAATCGCTTCATGTTATTCAGGCTGGTTGTATTACCTTTTTGTTATATTCTTTGCCCCTTAGCAAATTTTAAATTGCAAAATATATTTCTAATAATCCAAAGTATCCAACCAAAGTATTAAAAATAACTTTTAATTACAACACAGAGGCGGTGTCATCTAGGCCATAAATCCCGTCTTCCCTGCAGTTTCCCACAGTTTCTGTAATTAGACAAGAAAACCTCCCACTGTGTTAAGCTGCTTATTAATAAATGGGAGCCATGCCTCTCCAGTCCCACTCCCCCATGCCCATCCCTAGTAGATGATGCTTTTGGAAAGGGCCTATCTGATTTCACCACAGCTCTGCATGATCTGATATTGGAGGTGGGGGTGGTATGCTGGCCTTTAATTTTGCTGCCTCCCTCCCTCCTGCCTCTGTCCTTCAGTTTCAGGGCTCATGTCAACGTATCTGCTATAATTCTCTCTCCAGCTGTGGGCTTTAATTCTGAGTGCCAGACTCGGAGAGAAAGAGTTTTCCACCAGGGTTTCTAGTCTCAGAGCACAGGATCATAAGTGACCTCCAGGAATAACTTGGAAGGGCCTTTGGGGCTACTTCTTTAAGATGGGTTATTAGCCCTGTGTGTTGAACTGAGTATAATTCAGCTAACAAGTATCTCTTGAGCATGTTCACTAAGTCATTGGCTCTGTGTTGTGCCTCTGAATGTGCCACCAATGCTGTTTTTTTTTGATATTTAAAGAACTAGAGTGTTTTGTTACCTTTTCCTTTTTTGGGAAATAGGAGCAAAGTTAGAGTTGAGCCTTTAATAATTAACCTCATTCTCATGCTTTGCATCTTTCCTGTGTGCCAGGGACACGCTCCATACTTTTATGATTTTTATTGGTCCATTAGGAAAACAGAATACTTGCATATTCTGGCACATTGTCTAGAGAATGTGTTAGGCATACTCCTCTATTTCCAGAGGTGGGAGAGTCCTTTACATCTTGTCAGTTAACCAATATATATTTTTTTTTATCGTCCATGCCTAGAGATCAGGATGCCAAAAAGAAGGACAAGGGCTGAAGTCTATAGTCCTCATTTTTTAGCAGTTTCTTATTGCTTTCCTGCCCTTTCTCTGGTCATGGCCATACTGTGGGTCCTCGGAGGCCGCTTGTCATCCCAGCAATGGCTCCTGAGCTGTGAGAGAGTTCATTTTTACGGGGTTCCAATCTGAGTTGAGTGAAGTTTTTCTTTCTCTTCTCCTGCATGAAGACATGTGGTAATTGCTCAGAAATGTTCTCTCTGGTGTGTCTTTACTGCTTACTCTGGTGTCTTATTGCTCACTGATGTTGCTGATTGCTTACTGTTGTGTCTTATTGCTTGCTGATATATCTTCTGGTTGACTATAAAACGTTTCTAAATTGGGTACCATAGCAGTCGAAGAAGGGCTCCCTAAATTTATTTTCTTTAAAGGGACAGCTGTGTGTGTGTGTGTGCGCGCGCGTGCGTATGTGTGTGTCCTTGTTCTGTTTAGCTGTCTTCTATGTGGCTTTTATCCAGGATGACTTTTCTTTCCAAATATATCACCCTTGGGCTTTTTTATTATGTAAAAGTCAATGTGCCCCCAGAGGAATTTAGGTAGAAATGAACTTTATTAAAATCAAGAATCAAATTGAACTGCATTTGTGAGCTCAGTTGATTTTGTTGAAGGCAAAGGGGAATCAAAGAAATGAAAAAGTAGATTTTTAAAAAATCTCTTCTGCCCATCATTTGGTAAATTAATTTACCCACATTTAGTCTCTGAAAGGGCTTAAATGTGCCCTTGTCAAAATTATCTACTTTCATGGGGGTAGGGTGAGGCTCAGTGGCAGAGCACTTGCCTAGTGATCTGAGTTCAATCCTCAGCATCACAATTTAAAAAAAAATTTTTTTTTTAAAAAGTCTACTACTTGCAGAGTGATGCTTTGGATTCTGGAACGACCTATCTACCTTACATTTCATGATCTTAAATGATGCCTTGTAGGGAACAGAATAGGCTCTGTAGTTCTTTGCCATGGACCTGATAGGGCATAAAGGCAAAAGTAGATAGATACCTGCTAATGAAACTGCTCAGCTTTTGAGGACGAGAGCATGTCTGGTTGCTGTCAGTTCTGCCTTCGCTGGTGTGTCCAAAGCTTACCTATTGAAGGTACTCGGCTGATACTGCTCACATGGACTGGATTATGCCGGAGGACATTTGCCCTGTGATTCCCTTTTCTGTTCATATTTACGAGGATCCTCCTGAGAGCAGGGCTTGGCATCTCAGACCTAAGTACGACTGCCTTGTTTGTCATGACTCTGTGTTGCAGAGACAATTCTGTGGGGCAGAGCCTTCATAGAATGTGAGAGTTACAACTCTAGGTTGTAATATTTTGGAGGATAGGAATGCCATGGGGTCTTCTTCAGGGGCATGTATATTTATTTACTTTAATGCTATCTATAACTTTTTGCTGTTGTTTGACAGCTGAATTACTGGCCAACATTCACTCTTTGCTAAAAAAACAAGATGCAACAATAGCATTTGCTTTGTGTGACCACGTAGGATTACAAGATCATTTGGGAAATAAGATCATAAAATCGAATGTACAGATTCAACTCAAATGATTGTTTTCTGATATTTGGCTCAAGCTGAATGTCAGGCAGCCCTGCATTTTTCAACGTTATTTGCTATATGTCATGTTTTCAGTGTTTGGGATCGAAGCACAGTGTATTTGAACTTGGATGCTGTTCTTAAAAACAACCACAATTTTTATTCTTACCATTTGGAACTTGGAAATGAAAAATGCCCCTGCTGAGTTCGGGGCTTGCCTCAGAAAGTGTAATTTCCCCCTTTGTGTTGCTAATGGACCTTGAAATTAAATTGCACCTGTTCTGTGACCTTGTTTGTATTCCTGAGTTTTTCCCTGTGTGAAAGTAGCACCCAGAACCCAGTGTCCCCAGCATCCAGCTCAGGTAGTGGCTCAGCAAGTGACTTTTCCAGGGTTAAGTATTGACCGATTACTGGGACCCTGTATGCTATGGAGGGTAGGGAAGATGTGTATTTTCAGGGTGCTTTCCTGTTTATTGGAGCGAGAAACAAATGTGTTCTGTCTGTGTACATGTCACTTTCTGTTTCGTTCTTTGCAAAGGCAGCAATAAATGTTTGGATACTTGTCAGAAACTATCCTTTCAGCATCTTCACAGAAAGTGCATGTCATTGTTGGTGTGGTTTTCATTTTATGTGGTCAAGGGCATTTTGATTTTTATCATTAAGAAGAAAAATACAGTTTCAGAGAAATGATGCTGACCTTCAAGGCTGTGGACCTATGGCAATGATTCTCAATGATGGACAACTGTTTCCCCCCCCACCAACACACACACACACACACACAAAACCAGGAGAAACTTGGCAATGTTTGGAGAACTTTTTGATTGTCATGACTCTGGGGAGATAATTTTTATATCTAAAAATAGAGGCCAGGGATGCTACTGGCCTCTAAATATCCTCAGGATGGCTTCCACAACTGAGAATTATCCAGCCCCAAGTGCCAACCATACTGTGGTTGAGAAACCCTGATCTCCAAGGTATTTTTGGAATCTGGTGGCAGCAAGTATGCCTACTTGAAGTCAGTGAAAAAAAGATGCCCAAGTCAAATATTGAGGTTTCCTACTTGGGCAGCTGAGTCTTTACCTCTTCCTAGTTTGTCTGCAACCTTTGCAACTGGTCTTTGAGACCTCCAAGGAACAAGATTGTATAAACTCCCAGAAGACTGTTTTGGAATCCTAATCTAAAGAAACTCCTCTCTTGGCCCACAACCAAT